AAACTCTATGAGAATTGAGAACCCATTTTTCATCAATTCTATAGAACAACATTAAAACACATAAAAAAGTTCCAAAACGTTTAGAAATGAACTAGATATTAGGTTATTTAGCACATAACGTTCCCACATTTCACTATTATTGTGGGAAACGTCATTACCTTTTATTTTTTGGCATTTCACCCTTATGTTCACATTTCATTTGTAAAAAGTCATTTCATCCATTTTCTCAATTAAAAATTATGAAATGACGAGTATACCATTTTATTTAAATAAAACAAAAAGAAAAAGAAAAAACTAATTGCAACTATAGTCTTAATTTAAAAAAAAAAAAAGGCATAAATGAATATCAAATAAATTATTAAAAGGGTAATTAACACATAATATCTATACGTTTAATTTTTTTGTTGAAAACGTCTATACCTTTCATTTTTTAAGCATTTTTACTCGTAATTACACATTTAATTGCACAAACCATTATTTCTATCAATTTTCATCTAATTTCTCAATAAAGAGACGTGAAATGATGAATATAATCTCATATTTAAATAAAATAGTTAAACAATTAATTAAAATCATAGTCCCAAAATTTTTTAAAAAGTACAAACGAGTCCCAAATAAATTTTTAAAAGATAGTTTTTTTTAAAGTGCAAACAAATTACAAATAAATTATTTAAAAAAATAGAAATTATTTTTTTAAAAAAAGTGCAAACAAGTCCCAAATTAAATTTATTAAAAAATTTAAAAAAATTAAAAATTAAAAAGTTCAAATGAGTCCTAAATAAATTATTAAAAATTAGAAATAAAAAAATTAATTTCTTTAATTTTTTTTTTAATAATATGGTATATTCATCATTTCACAACTTTTTATTGAGAAATTTGATGAAAATGAATAGAAAAAATAGTTTGCGCAATCAAAGATGTAATTACGGGTGAAAATGCCTAAAATATGAAATGTATGGACATTTTCCACTAAAATAATGAAAGATAAGGACATTATATGCTAATTACCCTTTTAATAATTTATTTGGGATTCATTTGAGCCTTTTTAAAAATTTTGGGATTATAATTGCAATTAATTTTTTTGTTTTTTTTAAAGTGAATGGTTTATTCGTCATTTCACAATTTTTAATTGAGAAAATAAAGGTGAAAATGATAAAAAATGAAAGGTAATGACGTTTTTCACAATAACCGTGAAAGATGTGGACGTTACGTTGGGGCGGGGGGTACTTTTTAGTTTGCCGAAGTGAAACGTGTCATTTTCCATTTTACCCAAAATTTT